GGGGACAGGGACGGGCATGGGGACGGGGACGGGGACAGAGATGGGAACAGGGACAGGGACAGGCTGAGCACCCCCCAAGCATCCCCTGCCCACCTCCCCCCACAGCCCTGCTCGCTCAGGATGTCCGGGTGGTGGTAATAATAATAATAATAATAATAATAATAATAATAATAATAATAATAATAATGTTTCACGTATGTAATAATTGAATAATTTAGATTGGCAAAGCTCTCTAAGATCACTGAGTCCAACCATTAACCCAGCCCTGCCAAGCCCACCACTAATCCACATCCATAACCACGTATGGCAGCATTGCATGGTACATCAATGATAATCAATCATATTAATATTGGATCCCCCTGCACGTTCTTATCAAACCACACTGGGGCTCCTCACGGGTGCTGTGAGAGCCGCCTGTTCACTTGTGGAAGGTCCTCGCAGCAGCATGGCCAAACTGCCCAGCTGCCCCCAGATGTGGCTTCCCCAAATCCCCCTGGGCAGTTTATTCACATCTGGAGTGATTTTAGTTTGGGATGAGCTGGGTGAGGGCGCTCCCATCCCTGAGCCAAAACGTGTGACTCCAACGGAGCTCACCAGCAAACCTGGGGCTCCCACGCCCTGGGGTTCACCCCTCGCTGCTCCTCCCCGGCGCCACGTTTGATTTTTGCCTCAGAAAAACTCATCTGCAAAATTTTCAACCTTTTTTTTTTTTGGAGTTTCTCCATTTGGCCCAGGGAGCTGCTGGGTGGCCAGGCTGCAATTCAGGTGAGGTTTCTTTGGGAACGTTTGGGAAGCAGCAACTCCCACCCCACTCCTGCTGCCCAGCCTCCCCCTGGCGCTGCCATGGGAGGTGAAGGAACCCAAATTCCTGGCCCGGCTGCTTCCTGCCACACACCTGGGCAGCTCTGAGGTTGACATCCCCCTCCCTCAGCAGCCTCATCACCACCTCCATGTCCTGCCGGGTTTCGGGGGCCGCCAGCGGCGTCAGCATCACGGCCGTGTAGCCAGCACGGTTCTGCAGGTCCAGGCAGCTCACGCCTGCAGGGGATGGATCCGGCCCGTGGGGGATCACCCAGAGGGAACAGAAAGGAAAGAAGGAGTCAAACAACGTGTGGCATCTTCTGTTCCCAGAAAAAGGAGTTATTCCAGAATGACACAGGGCAGGGATTTATCTGTTTTGAATATCCAGGCTGGTGAGCGAAGCACTAAACGGCCCCTGGTGCTACAGTTAATTACAACTGTTGAGGTCAACTCAATTAACTTTGAAGACCACAACAAGTAGAAATTAAAGGGGGATAATTAATGCCTCAAGCACATGCTGGTTGGAGCTGTGGGCTGTTTGCTTTGGCTGCCGTGGCAAGGGAGCAGCAGAGAGACGCCCATCACCCAACGGGCTTGGAAAACATCCTGGCCCCGTTTCACTCATTTTTCACTTCAAAAGAGCCCAATTTAGGCTCCTCCACGAGGAATGAGCCGTGCGTGAGGGTGAGGGCTGGAGTCCAGCCTCGCCCTGAGGAACCAGCTGCCTCAAACCCTTCCCTGCCCGCGCCTCTGCAGCAACAATCGGTTTATAGATGTGTATGATAATCTGCCATTTCCCAAACATTTCACGGATTGTCCAGCCCATGAAAAAAGGCCAAAGTGCCTCTATTCTCTCAGAGCACGAGCACATTTTTGCCCTGTAACAAACTCAGCTGAGATTTTTGTTCTTTCATTGCAACACAAGCTGAAAGTTCAGTAGTTTAACATGGGAGTTTTTCTGTGGTGCTGGGGGGTTTCTTATCCTCACAGGGGTCTGATCCTCCTGTCCCAAACCACGATGTGGCTTTGGCTACTGCAAGAAGCTGGGAAGCCACCCCATCCCACCTGGACTGGGGCCATGAGGGACATCCCTTTGGGGATGGTTCAGGGTTGCTGGATCCAAAGTCAGGCTGCAAAGCCCTCAAGATGTGTGAGGGCACTAATGAGCCTTCATGTCCCTCAGGAGCCTCAGCTGGACCCCCACCTACATCCATGGGCCCAGAGCTGAGCTATGGGGGAGGATGCTGGTCTTGAGGTCAGCCAGGTCTCCTGGATGGACTTCAGCCTTATCTTTGTACTTTGGATGGAGCTTGGGCCTGTTTTTCCACTGGATGGACCTTGCCTCCATGTTTGTCTCCTGCATGGCTGCAGGTAGGTTAGTCCTCAGCCCCACCTCTGTCCCACCTCCTTTAGCTCCTGACTGGGAGGACCCTGGGAGGATCCTGGACCTCCTTCAGTGTTTGTCACATCTGGACTGTCCATGTCCCATGCTCCCTGTGCAGCCATCCCTCACGGGACCACGACCCCTTGGCAGGAGCCATTGCCACCCCCTGCCCAACAGGAGCCCCGGCTGAGCAGAGTGGCCGTTCCTACCCGTGTCCAGCAGGAGCTTTGCAACCTGGAAGTTGGAGTGGGACACGCTGTAGTGGAGAGCTGTGTTGCCATTCCTGTCGGGCAGGTTCACCACGGCCTCCAGGAGCTGGGGCTGGATGTCCCTCAGCGCCTCCAGGTACGCTGCCACCACCTCTGGCCTGGAAGACTTGTGGCTGGACACCTGGAACCACTCCTGGGAGATGGAGCCGAGGACGTGCTGCTGCAGACACCGAGGTGTCACCGTCAGTGTCCCTGGTCGGTGTCAGGGCCTCCTGCCTGGACATCTCACTGCTCTCAACAGCCCCCAGGCTGATTTCACTGCTCCCTGTGCCTCTTTCTCCTCCTGCAACTTGGAAAAGCACCTGAAGCCTCAGCCAGGCAGCAGCCTCCACTTGTGCAATGCTGCTCTAAAGGGATTTGGGAGGTTATTTTAAGCACAGGCCAAAACCCCACCTTGGGGTGCTCTTGTAATCAAAGCAGGTGATGCACAACCCTCGGTGTCCCTGCCCCAGCTCCTGGCCCCGCTGCTCTGGCACCGCCCAGCCAACCTCGGCTTTGGGTTTGTGATCGCTGCTACAACTTGAGGGGGAAAGGAATTTCCTGTGGTAACTTGGATGAGTAACCAGACAAACCCTTCATCTTTCTTCCCCCGCCCCCCCCCTCCTCCTCTCTTCCTTTTTTTTTGGCTGCTGTAAAACTGACTCAGATGTCACCTCAGCCCCCCCCCTCCTCGCAAAGCTGTCCAGAGCACAGCCTGAGATGTGCCACAGGGATAATCTCATCCATTAAAGCGAACAGAGAGCATGAACCGTGTCTGAAACGGGACTGGGAAAGATCTGTACCAGATGCTTGTTGCTTCTGCTCCTGATTTCTGGGAGGTGTTCACTGAGGAGCTGGCAGGCGGCAAGGAAATCCTCGGAGGGTTTGCATCTAAAGGCAAAAGATTTTGTAAGTCCACCATGGGACAGGACTTGCAGGAGGTATTGAGCCAAGTAGGAGAACACAGGCAGATTAGGTTGGAATATGTTCAACACATTTAAGTGTTTTAAGTTATTGGACACAAGTTGTCCCATTGACTTGACACAGATTTTAGGTACAAAGCTAAGCACTTAAGCAGAGGTTTAAGCCCAGAGTCACAGATTTGTGTGGTCAACTTCATCTATTAAGTTTGGGGGGAAAAAAAATCCTATTTCTGAACCTGCAAAGAACTTCACCAAAAAAACTTTCCATGAGAGGGGAGAAATGAGCTAACTCACCAGACATGACTCAGTGTCGAGTGTAGGGCCTGAATCAATCCCCATTAGATTCTGTAGTAACTCACCAAATATTTAGCTCTTTAAAGCCTTTTCCCTTGCCTGCAGAGGTCACCACTGCTGTTCCACCAGAAGAAGCCCCAGACCAGCCCTGCAGAGCCGTGTCACCGAGGCACGGTCACCACCCGGCGTCCTGCTTACCTGTGAGAATGGTGCTGAGAGCGGGGTGCTGCTCCTGCTGATTCCTCCTGCTCATCAGCATCATCATCATCATCATCATCATCCTCACACTTCTCCCCCGAGGAAGCCCCTCTGCTTTCCCTTCCAGGCTGCTCGGGCTCCACGTCCCCGGCTCTGCCCTCGGTCTCGGTGTCGCCGTCCGACGCGCTGTCCTCACAGCTGGTGTCTTCCTCGCTTGACGTCGTCTCGTAGCTATTTGAGGACACCACAGGTTACTCCCTCCTTCCCCAGCCGCAGCCACGGGGCCTGACCAAGGCTCATGGACCCACTGGCCCTTGGGTGAAGCCCAGAGTGGCAAGCAGCAGGTTAAAAGGTCTGAGCCACAGCCGAAGTCGGGGTTAGTCTTTGTTTGGCTCCTTAAGCAGCAGGAGTGTGACAGAAGCAGTTAATGAGCAGCAGGCAAGGTTACTTCAGGGTTTGCAGGGATGTCCATCACACACAGCCCGGGCAGGGCCTGGGGGCTGCTGGCACGGTGGCAGGGTGACAGCAGCACGGCCCCTGTGGCACGGAGGGACTGGCGGCATCGGCAGCCTCAAGGAGCACGAGACAAAAGCCATGTTTGCACAGCTTTTGGGCTGGAGTCTTTTGGGCTGAAGTCTTTTGGGCTGAAGTCTTTTGGGCTGAATCCACCATTCCAGCAGCCCTGACAGAGATCTCTCCTCTGGTTGTCTAAAAGCATTAATATCAATAATGTCTTCCACAAAACAGAACGTTCACTCTGACAGACCCCAGGACTTTCCTCAAAGTAACCAAGACTCCTCCAGTCCCTACAAGCTGCACCCACTTGGCAGAGCCCAGCAGGTGGGAATTCAGAGGAGCAGCGGGTGAGCACAAAGCAGCACCCAAGCTGGCACACACTGCCTGCCAGCCCAGGGACAGTGACACGTGTCCTGCACTCTTCATGCCACCTCTGCTCAGCTCACAGGCCAAGGAGTGCTGGATATTGGACACACCTGCAATGGGGAGCACAACCTAAAATCTCCTTCACCCCAAGGGAATTCCTTATTTACCAAAAGTCTTTTCCCAGGCCCTGAACCAAGTGCTGTTGGCTTTGCTGGAGCATGGGGGCAGGTTAGTGGCAGCGTGCCTACCCAGGCAGTGCTGGCCTCCTCCAAAGCTCACCAAGGTCAGTGGGAATCTTCCCATGGAATCTTCCCATGGAATATTCCCACCTTCCCCAGCTGGGTTTTGGAGGAAGCCCCAGGAGAAGGGTGTGCAGCGAGTGTCAGTCCCCAGCATGTCCCTGCTGCTCTGAGCACTCCACCACCCTTCCTCAAGGGGTTACTCACAGGTTATCAGTGCTGGATTAAAGAAGGGAGAAGAGAGGCTCTATTTCAACTGGCCTTTTAATCAGGAGGGGAAGAGAGGGGGAGAAAGAATGACTTCTCCAGCGATACTGAGGACATTCCACGTTAAAAGGCAGTTTTTATCTTCTGAATGGATGCTTACCCACCATTTACCCCAACAAACTGGAGATTCTTTTTGGTCCCATTGCCTCCTGCATGGAAACCATAACCTTTCTTTTTCATGATGGATTTAAGACTTGTGGTTGGAGAGTTTTCTACCAAAATACAAAATAATAGATTAATTAAGCAGATGTGCCATAATTAGCAATAATTATTCCCAACCTCTAGCAACAAGCCACAAATCATAATTGTAAGCGTCTTACTTCATCTTATGAGAGTCTTTTGAGGTCTTGCAAAACTGCAGATGCAGCTGACCACAATCTGAACCTGCCCTGCCACCTTTAATACAGGTCTCAAACATCTCCAGGTGACTGGGAATATAAAGGAAGTGACCGGGAATTATGTATTTGTCCTATGAATATAAGTAGATTTTACTCTCGTAATACTGTTTTGGTTTTGGGGGTTTTTCCCCCCAGCAGTAATGCATTGGAAAATTCCTATATAAATCTGCTATAATACTACATGGATGAGTTTTTCCATTAGACTTTGAATAGCATCTATATATTAAGGAATAAGTCACTTATCTATTTGAAAGTCCCTTCCCTCCCTCCCCCAGAGAACAAGCATTGGAATCCCATCTTCATATAAGTTAAAATTATTTTAGATGAAGGTCTGTGAGTGGGGACAGGTCTTTTCCCAGCCTGGTTGCTCAGTTAGTTTGACTGGTTTGGGTTCTGGAGAACTCCACACGGATTTACCCCAGATGAGCACCAGCCTCATATTCTTGCAAACTGAGATGTCCAATCTGAACAAAAAGAATGTTTATTTGATGGAACAGCCCACCAGCGTGGCAACTTTTGGAAGCTGACCCTGCATATAAATGAGCCACTGCTTTATGAGCTCCTACATCATTTTGTTTACTTTTCACCATGTCAGATCCATAACTTGTGACGTGCACAGATTTGCCTTTCTCATCATGCTTTGTCGAGACTATTCCTGATCTGACTGACAACAACTGTTCCACCACATCCCCCCTGCTCCACGCTGGAATAAATGGGAAAGGATTTGGCCCGGACACATCGATGCCTGTGCCAATATTATTTACCCAACTGTTGATAGTGCGTGTTGGAATTCTCCTTATCCACGGGCCCTTGCGAGGAGTAGGCAGAGAGCAGGGAGTTTAGGGAATTAACTAATTGGTTCTGGATGGAGCTGAGCTTGGAGGCCGGCTGCTTGATAGCGCTGGCCAGCTCGGGGTACCCGTGCTCCAAGCACAGCCACTGCTCCTGCAGGAGCTCCTGGATCTTTTTTACATATTGGCCAATGGGGTCAACAGCCGGGAGGTCCTCGTGACCAGCACTTTCCTCTTGCAGCCCTTCCCGAGGTTTATCTTCTCCAAAGCCTGCCTTGCTTTCAGCTGCATTTGGGCCAAGGGAGTCCTGGTGGTTGTGGTTGTCGTCGCCGGGGTGCTCGTGGATCTGCAGCGGGGTGAAGCACGGAGCAGGGAGCCCAGCCTCCAGGCTGGCCTCACCAGAACGTCCCTCTGCCCCAGCACCTGCCAGGCCCTGCTCCCTGCACGCCTCCACGGCCCGTGCACTGGTGTTCTCTGCCCTGTGGGAGCCGCAGCCGATGGATCTGGTGGAGAGTGGGATGTTGACGTTGATGCCTTTGTCCTGGACCCGCCTGAGCCCCGGCACCTGGGAGAGCTCGGTGTTCACCGCGGCATCGAGGCGCTGCGAAGCCCCGCTGCCCCACCGCCTCCACAGCTCGGCCCCTTTGGACTTCTCCTGCCGCAGCTGCTCTTCCAGCTGAGCTTTGGAGCTGGCCAGCAGCATAATGCTTTTCTCCTTCTCCTGGATCTCATGATCCTGCTGCTCCAGCGCTGCCCTGACCAGCCTGAGCTCCTCTTTCTTCTTGGCCAGCTGCTCCTGCAGGTCAGCGATCTGCTGCTTCAGCGCCATGACCTCATTGGGCTCTCCACGGTGAACACCGCTCTCCTTGTCCCCTCCAGCCTGGACACTCCTCTCCTCACCTTCCTTCAGCACATTCACATCCACCTCGCTCACACTCAGCCCCCTTTCCGCAGGCTCCACGTTCTCCTCCGCCAGCCGAAAGGCGGCCGGGGCCACGTCGGAGCCATCGGCGGCGGCATCGCCCTCCTCGGCGCCGCTCTCCATCACCACCTGCAGCTGCTGGCTCTGCCGGGGGGGCTGCAGCCCGGGCAGAGCCCCGCCGGAGCGCTCCCGCTCCGAGCCCGCGTCCCGCGGCGGGCTGTCCGCGCTGTCCGCGCTGGGGCGGGCGGCGCTGCCGGAGCCGGGCTCGGGGCAGCTCCGGACGGGCTCGGCCGGGGCGCTGTGGCCGGGGGGCAGCGCCTCGGGCAGGCTGGAGGCTCGCAGCAGCTGCGGCCGCGGCCCGCCCGGCTCCGCCCGCCGCCGCGTCTCCGCCAGCAGCGCCCGCCGCCGGTAGCTGGGCTGCGGCTCCTCGGCCGGCAGCGGGGCCCGCGGGGGATCCTCCCCCAGGGATGCCTTTCGCTGCGGGAAGGAGCAGCTCGAGGTCCAGCTCTTGCTGGGAGCGGCGGAGCAGCCGCGGGAGCCGCTCTCGGGCAGGCTGAAGTTGCGGGGCAGGGTGCTGAATTTGGGCTGCTTGGCTCGGCGCTGGATGTGGACCCGCCTGATGGTGTTGCCCTTCTCGATGTCGTCCACGTACTTCAAGAAGTCCAGGTCCAAGTGGAAGCCGTAGGGTGTCTCCAGGGAGTACGGAAGGCTGCGGGGCTGCTCCCTGTCCCCATCGGGTTTGGGTGGCTGGCCATCTGCTGAAACAACCCACCAGAAAAAAAAAAAAAATTATTGAATTTTGGAAAAAAAAAAAAATTCAGAGCAGCAGGGGGATGTTTTTTCTCTTTTCATCTCAGTTTTGGGCAGGCAGGGGCTGCAGCTCATTATCGTGGAGGCTCGTGGTGAAGCTGTGCAGAGACACAGTGACACGCACCAAGCTCTGATCTGGTTTTCCAGAGGTGCATCAGGTAATTGTTGCACCGAGGAAGCCAAAAATTTCCTGAAATCATGGCTCTAATTGGCAATTAAGCAAGCAGCAGGTTTTGCAGGCAGAGCTACATGTCTGTGTAGGCACAGAGAACTGCTTGGTGGATAATAAATCCAGCTCAATAATAGAATGTAGGATCAATCTATGACAATGACATTTTTCAAGGCTTTTGGTTTGGTTTGAACTTTTCAGTGGCATAAGCAGTGACAACCGAGCAGGAAAATCATTGCCTCGCTTCACCTGCAACCACCAGGTCACAAATTATTCCTTGAAAATTATGGATCTGGGCAGAAGCTGCTGCTCAGAGCTGCAGCCATGCAGAACACGCATCCCAAGGTGACCGGCTCAGCTCCCAGCACAGCTCCTCACTGAGGCAAATCACCACTAAATGGGTGTCACTGAGTTTGCCAACCCAGCCAGCACAGGCAAACAACAGCTCTCAGACAGAGTCTCCCACTTTAACACAGCCATCTCCAGCCTGCAAACATTCACAGCCCCCAAATTTCCCACCTTGAGGGTTAACAGTTAAATTTCTGCACTTTCCTGGATGCAGCAAGCCCCTGAAATCACAGTGGTTTGGGATGCTCTGCACCTCTCAGCACACAAGCTGGGCTCGGTGAGGAGGAGGCACCAGTGGCTGATCACTTTGTCTCCACCCTGGTGCAGCAGCTGGAGAGGACCAGGACAATTTGGAAGAGATTTTGGTGCTGCTCATCACAGAGCATCACTGAGGTGGGAAGCAGCACGTGGAAGTCAGAGGAAGGACAGAGGGAAGACAGCACTGGGGTCATCCCAGGGCGCAGGAGCACAGCTGGAGGGTGGGAACAGGGATCTGTCACAGAGCATGGGAGGACAAATACGTGCTGATCTAGAGCTGGGACCTGCTTTGCCGTGGTTTTTAAGAAATCTGCATCATAATGAATGATGCATTTTTCACCTCTTGGCCCCACATCTACAGAACAGGTTGTTTACAGCATTTCTGATAAGGAAATTACTCCAGGGCTTGGTTGGGTTTTTTTTTTTTTTAAAGAATAAATGAAGAAAAAAACACCCTGTAAGCTCCATACCTTCTGTCTTCTCCATGGTGGGGTCTAACTGGGCTGTCACTTAAGCATCTTCTGACAAAGACTGAGGAGTCGCTTCACCCTTGAAAAAAGAAATGGATACTCCTAATTTAATAAAATAACAGGCTCAGCCATGTGAACTTCATCTCTCCTTAAAGCCTTACAAGCCTTCAAAGGCCACCCCCCTCCCACTTCCCACCTTCTGCAGACCAGTGGAGTCCAAGGGCTTTGAAGCTGCTAAAATCAATAGCTCCTCTTCCAGAGACAACAACTTGTGACACATCCCAGGGAGCTGGTCCCTGTAAAACATCCCCTGCAGTACAGTGAGGACAGAAAGACATTTGGGATCACCCAAGATCAATGGCACAGGGACTCTCCACTGACTCCTGTGAGCTGGAGATACCCAACATGATAAAAGCTCCCTGAACTACACACAGAAATGACTGGTTTGCTGCTTTTTTTATTTTTTAAATCCATAACAAGCAAAGATTCAAAATTTATGCTGAATCTCATTCAAATGACAGCCATTACTTCAGAGCACGCCCCTAGTGTTAAAAAGAACCTTCACCAAACTGCACTGAACCACAGACAAATTGCTTTCAGCTCAGGGAACAACTTCAGGTGGAGATCTACCACAGCCAACACTGAGATCTTCACGTCATTTCTGGGCTGTGTTACCCTCCAGCTCCTTCCCATCACGTGGACATGGATGAGACCCTCCTGGAGCATGAGAAATTAAGGCTGGGAACAACCAAGAAAGGTCCTGGGTGAAACTTCTCACCTCCATTTCCTTTAGAAAGGCACAGGGAGGAGGCAGGGAAGGGTGAAGGAGGCTGGAGCAGTTGGACATCACAGTAGGAGGCTCCCTGGCTTGTGTCAGAAGGACAACAACGCTCCAAGTGAGAAGGTCTGGTTTTAATTTCTGCTGCAGAGGATGACGTGGGAGTTTCCTGAACAGTAGGTTGTTTGCTTATGATTCTCCTTACAGTATCTAGTTTGGTGTTTGGTTCCTGGCCAGAGACGGCCCCACAGCTCCTTGGAAGTCCAGCCCTGCTCCTCCAGTGCATCCCTGAGCTATCCAACATTCTCCGGGCAGCACCCAGCCTATGCTGAGCCAGCCCCAGCTCACACCCATCTCATGGACCAAAACACCAGAGTCTGAACTCATTCTCTGCATGCAGAGCTTTGCCTCAGCGAGGGCTGCAGCACTTGACCAGAGTTCCAGAGCTCCCCACAAAGGGGCTCCAGCTGACCTTTACCAAAGACCAGCTGAAAAATGAAGTCAAATCCTGCTGTATTGTTACCACAGAACATTGCCACATCCCTGGAAGTGTCCAAGGCCAGCTTGGACAGGGCTCTGAGCAACCTGGGGTGGTGGAAGGTTGCATTTCATGGAATGAGGTGATCCTCAAGGTTCCTTCCAACCCAAGCCATTCTATGATTCTATAACAAATACTTCGAAAGATCAAAACCTTTTAAAGAAACAATCAGTTGTCAATCACATGGGCATGTTTATGGTCAATGTAGAGCCTCGATGGGAAGTCAGGAAGGTCCCAGCCCAAGGAGAACATCAAAGCTCTCCAAAGCTCCAGCAGGGCCACAGAGGGTCTCAATGATGCCCACCCAGCACCTTGTGAGCTCCTGGAAAGCTCCTGAAGTGCTCTCCAATTAACCACACTCCTTTTACAAAGGACAACTCCTTCTGTCTCCTCCTGCCACTGAACAGCACATGCCAAAACAAACACCAACCTCTTCCTCAAATGTTGTTTCTTCCCCTTAATTTTCCAGCTGCAGCCAATTCCAGCCTGACCAGCTACACTCCACTCTTCTAGGTCATTTATTCAGAAGGGAGGGGGGAAAGCCAGTGCATAGGATGGTTTTTAACATCTAGATAATCACATTTGGATCATTTATGAGCTGGCCAGGTCCCAACTCTGCAGCCCAAATTGATACTACGACTACTCTCCTTTGACCAATCTACTTCAAAATCGCCTTGTAAAAGGATGCTGAATGTTCCCAACCAGCTTGCTGATGTTCCCCTGTCCCCTCCGGGGCAGCTCAGGCATGGAAAAGATGGCTTAGAGCCAAAAATGTGCCTCTTTGGACCCCACAGCTGCTCTCCCATGCCTGTCCCTAAGAAAAATGAGATTAAAATATGAAGTCATCTGCCAGAAGTAGCAGACCCCTACAACCAGGGTCCAGCCCATCATTTGAGGCAGGGTAACAGTTTTAGGTGCGTCTCCATCCTGCTAAAACCTGTTAGCCTGACCCTCTGCCAGGTTCTACATTTGCTGAGTTTTCTCTGTTAAATAAAATTGGAGAACATTTCTTTTTCTCCCCATGCATCACTGATTCTTACCTTTGCTATACAGAGAGGCCATGGGGAGGATTAATCCAGATTGGAATGAGGCTGTTTATCTCAAGGCAGGAATAAATACGTACAGAAATGGAAACGGAGAAGCCAAATATGTGAGAACGCAGCAGCACAGAGCGAAGTGGTTTTATTCCCAGGGGCAGCCAGTTTGCAGGGACAATGTACTGTCTTTTTAACCAGCCTGGACTCAAGTGCTGGCTCTTTACACTCACATTTAACCCCTCTTTCACTCCATCCCACTTGCCAGGCAATGTGAGCAGCTCCCCCATTCACCCCAGCCAGCAGAAAGGAGAGCACCATGACTCCCCAAAACATTTAAATAACAAATTAACTCAACCACATGCCACAAATACTCACAAAATCAATTCTCCCAGCGTGTCTTGCTAGTAATTTTAACTGGGAAACAGTTAACCCTGAGCCTATAAACAACAAGATAATCCAGCAGCACGTTAGCACAGTCTTGCTAGCTGTAACACAACATGATGTGAGCTCTGCCTGTCTGTTCTCCTGCACTGCAGCAGCAGCTCCAGCACTTCGTGGTGAAAGGAAAAACTGGTTAGCAAAGCATTTTGTCAGGTTACCTGCTCAGGCTGGCACCTACAAACCCCCAGGGGAGCAGCAGCTCTTGCCTCCCTCCAAAGCATCTTCTCCCATGGCAGAGCCGGCAGCGAAGGGTTCGGAGCAGCAAACGCGGCGTGGCTGGACCCCAGCCTGTTCCAGCAGTTACAAAGTTGGTCAGCTGAGCCGTGACCTTGCTCACAAAGCAAATACAAGTTTAAACCAAGGAGCACAAAAGAGGGATTGATTTTCCAACAGAGCAGCCCACGGCTCTCGGATGACCTTTGCGAGGACAACTCAAGTCCCGGTGCGTAAAATGAGTTACTTTTCCACGGAATTGCTATTTTTCCTGGAAAACACAGAGCGCCAAGCGCTGCCTGGGCTGTCGAGGGGGGTGCCCCCTTATCAGGGCTGATAATTGAAGAGAGAGTCAATAATTAACGGCGCTGCTGCTGTACCTGATGCTGCAGCTGCAGCCCTCTGCATGCTGCACCTCCGGGCTGGAGCATTAGCAATTCCAGCAGCGCCTCTCCCGAGGAAACGCAGCCGGCTGCCACCACTCGCAGGCGGCAGAAGGGCTCAGTGTCCCCAAATTCCCACGTGTGGAGCAGGCACAGCCCCTTGTCCCCGCAGCTCCGGCCCCTCTCGCCGTGTCCATCCATCCACAGCCCCGGGAGATGCCGGACGGGATGGGTGGCATGGGCAGGGCTGTCCCAGTGTCCCCGGGGGGACAGTGGCACTCTCCGTATCCAACTCGCCAGCCCTTGGCTCTGGGGTTATCCAACCCAGCTTCCAGCTGGCAGCAGGCAAGGCAGGGGTCAGCTGGCAGAGCAGACAACTGGAACACGCTGCCCGGAGAAGCTGTGGCTGCCCCTGGATCCCTGGAAGTGGCCAAGTCCAGGTTGGATGGGGCTTGGATCACCCTGGGATAGTGGAAGGTGTCCCTGCCCATGGCAAGGGGTGCAACAAGATTTAAGGGCTTTAAGGTCCCTCCCAACCCAAACCAGTCTGGGATGCTGTGATTTTGGGCAGGGTAGTCGTGGCATGTGGCTCAGTGACGGGCAGAGTGCCCATCCCAAGCCTGTCCTGAGCTCCTGCATTGGCATTCCCCTCGGGCACCCTGGATTGCTGCCCCTCCAGGCTGGCAGCAGGGACAAATCCCTCACTCTCCACACCGAACTTGCAACAACCTCATGCTTGCAAAGGCCGAGGGCTTCGGTGCTGCAAAACTCTTCCAGGGCTGGGAAAGAAAATCCTGGGAAGTGGAGACATCCCCTGTGACCTGGGGGCTCTGCTGGGGGCTCTCACCAGGGACTCCCATCACAGAGCAGTGCCAGCACCTTTCCCATGGCTGAAGGAGCAGCACAACCCCAATCTCATGCTAGGGAGGAAAACCACATCCCTCGCTGTGTGAGAGCAGAGCTGCTGGCACTGCTCCAGCTCCCTGCAGCCCCCACACGGGACTTTAACACATGAACTTTGAAGAAAAGCAGACGAGTTTTGCCTTAGCAGGAAGCACAGAGAACCAGCAGTGTTTGTCCTTCTGCCAGCCCTCCCCAAGGCACGGATGGGTTAAACTTCCTACCCGAGGGATGAAAAATCATCTCAGCAGCCGGTGAAATGCCGCCTTTCCCACGCGGGGCCGCGACTCCGTGTCCGTGGCTTTCTGCTTCCACAAGCAATTACTGAGCCTGAGCTCCAAAACCAACTCCAGGGCACGCTGCCTCGTTTTCTGCCCAATTCCTCTGCTTTAGTTACACTCCTGTGTCTTTTCTGAGCACATTCTGCTGCTCGTGTTCTCCAGGCAAAGCAGCACGACAGGAAAAATACGCATATTTCTATACAGTGCTGATTTTAAAGTGGTTCTGAAAGAGTTGGTTGGTTTTCCCACTGGACAGACCTAGAAGGAAGCTTTAATTTGGAGCATTTCCTCATTGGAATTACCCACATACAACCTACAGCTGTTCCCACATTTAATCCCTCTGGAACTGAAGAAGTCTGTGACCCCTTAAATAAGCTTTTAATCGGGAGCTATGAAGGCAAGGAGTCAAAACACGCAAATTAATTAATTATGGGCTGCTGCTTGATGGATTTACATCCAACCTCTGATAGCTTTGCCCACGGGGACTGCTGCAGGGTGGGAAGTGGGGATGGGGTTCACCAAGGCATGAGAACTGAGGTCATGGCCTGAAACTGCTGCTGCTCCACATCAGGCACCGCAGCTGCCGGGGGCGTTTTGCTCTGCCGGCTGCTCCAATGGATGAGAGGAACCAGACAGCTCTGGAGTGGCTCAAGAGCCATCCCATCCACCCCTCCTGGCCACCACTGTGCCTCCCTGGATGCTGGCAGGGCTGCTGCCTTCCCCTCCCCACAAAGAACCCCTGTGGGATGGCAGGTTTGGGCTTCACCCCCTCTCCTCTCCACCACAAGTCCATTCAGGCTGGAAAGGACAACTGAGATCATCCAGGGGCACCTCCCTGCTCCAGCAGGGTCATCCCAGAGCACCCTGCTCAGGAGTGGGTCCAGATGGGTCTGGAATATCCCCAGTCAGGGAGACTCCACAGCCTGTCTGGACAATCTGCCCAGGGAAAAAATTCTGCCTCACGTTCAAGTGGAAATTCCTGGGCATCAGTTTCTGCCCACTCCTCCTGTCCCATTGCCGGGCACCACTGAACAGAGCCTGGTCCATCCTTGTCCATCTGACACCTCCCTTTGGATATTTATACCCATGGATGGTATCACTTCTCAGTCATCTCTTCTTGAGACTGACCAGGCCCAACTCTCTGAGCCTTTCCTGGGCACGGAGATGCTCCAGGTCCTTCCTCATCTCCACAGCCTCCACTCCAAGAGCTCCATGTCCCTCTTGTCCTGAGGAGCCCAGAGCTGGACACAGCACTCCAGATGTGCCTCACAGGGCTGAGCAGAGAGGCAGGATCACCTCAGGGTGACCCACAGACAGAGCTGGCCCTCGGCACCCAAAGGGTTACACCCAACCTGCTCCATCCAGGCGGTCTGGATTGCACAACAGCCCCGCTGCAAATGGACATACCAGGAATAAAAATGGCCTCTCAGGGAATATTTGTTGTAGGGATTTTTCAATTCTGTTTTCACTGCAAAGGAAGAAAAATAAGCCACTTCCAGTCTGCTGGGGACATGCACACGGGTGGGATCTCTGCTGTGATCCGCTGCCCGCTGGCACAGCCACGGGAAGGAGTTTCCTCCAGGAGAAAAAATAGAAAAGAGGTTTGAAACCTTTGTGGGATTAAATAAATACCTAGTTAAATACAAGCAGTTTAAAGTCCTGGTTTGCACTGCAAGGTTTCCCAAAGTTTCCCCAAGTGAGAGCAAATTGGGTTGCTGCTGGGTGAGACCTGAATCCCAGGAGCCAACCAGCCACATTCCCACCTGTGTCTGGCATCACAAAACCACCACTGCCAATGGTCCTGTGCCCCACAGCACCCCTTGGAATGGCAGCTTGAGGGGGCAGAAGGCAGCTGAGCAGACCCAAAATTGAAGTGGGGAAACCAGACAGTGCCCGAGCCACTGCTACAAACCCAACAGCACCCAGGAGGAAAAGTTTCCAAGCTGGATCCATCCCAGCCTGGAGCCACACCACACGTGCTGGGCAGGCTTCCCCCTGTGCTGGTATCACTCATGGCACGTGCTGAGGCAGAGCAGGACTGGATTTAGGATGCAAAACCTGTTACTTACAGGAACTTAAGTTACCTGTTACTTCATCCTGGGGCCAGTGGATGGTTTCAGCAAAGGGCTGATGACAACAGGACCTTAGCGCACCCCAAGAGGAAAATCCCTCGGCTGCTGCCTGCCCAGAGCATCTCCAGAGCAGAGCTGGAAGCAATTTGGGAGTGCTGGAGAGGGACGAGCTCTCTCTGCAACCCATCAGCTCGTGGCTGATGATGGAGAGGTCCAGGCTGGCCTCCCACCCCCTCTGCAAAAAAAGCAGCGGAGGAGGAGCGGATGGGGCTGGAGCTGGGGGCTGTGCACATGGAAAACATCCTGGAGGCGTGTGGGGCCTCCCCGGGGTTTGAACCAGAGGGTTCACAAGGAAGCTGAATAATGAACCCGGCACCACTCAATAAAGGAGAGGATCTCTTTCAGCAACCCCCGGGTGTGCAACCCTCGGTGCTTAAACAGCCATTTCGGGCCCCTTTCCTTCCCTTCACAAGGTCTCTGATAAAGCTGTGCGGATTCTGATTTTATTAAAGCTGCTCGTTGCTGTCTAATAAATGTTACGAGCTTCCTGCCAGCATTTCCATTAGAGACGGGTCAGACCTGGAGGTATCAGATATCCAAACTCTCTCCCTCTTTCCTGGCTTAGCAGGAGGGGAAAACGATCATATTCACCCCCTCCTCTGATAACCTCTTTTCTGACTGACCTTCAGCTCATTCCAGCCACAGACTCACAAAAGCCTTGGTCGATTCTTGTGATTTTATCCCCTGCCTTGAAAACTGTGGTATTTTCCCCAAAGTCTTCGTTCCCAGAGCCAGGTGAGCACAAAAACAAAAAGGCACCCAAAGCCCTGAAACAAAAGTGCTCCAGAGTCAGAAGGCAGACAAAAATCTGAGGTGCCTCATGTCTAATGTTTACTCTCTTTGCCTCAATCCCACAAGTTTTGAGGGAAAACAATAAAACCTTGCTATGGCTTCTGGTCTCTTCCAAGCTGCTGGTTTCTACCTCCTTGACCTTGGGACAAGTCAAGCTTTGCTGCCACTGAAACAGAATAACTCCCACGTGGTCAAAGTGGGAAATTTTAGGTGCTTTTAGGAAAACCCTATTGTCTGCATTTCTCTCCTCCTCCCTGGGCAACCACCGCCATCCCCCATGGAGACACGGAGTCATTGCACATTGATTTCTGACCCGAGCCAGCAAGACTCGGGTTGATCACACTCCTGACAAGTTTAAAAACCTCTTCACACAGGAACATTTCTTTTTCAGGCCACCTGAAACCACCCTCTTCATTGATTGGGACTGCAGAGAAGGAAGATGTGCCACCTTCCTCCTCTGCTGGTGATTTCTGTGTGGATAACAGGAGCTGGGAGCCCTGAGCAGCATTTCCCACCTCTCACCCACTTAGGAAATAGGGATTTTCCTCCAGGTTGTTGACCAAGCCTCAGCCATTTATTGCTGATGTAGTTTCAGCTTTCTCGTTTACACCACATTCAACCCTGATGGGCAGAGGAACCAGCTGCAGAGATGAATTTAAGATATTCTCACTTTGAAGACGGAGACCTCTGTGTCTGGGAAGGTTTTTCACCATATTTCACATTTCTGGCTCCATCAAATTGTCCATTTGGGCAGTGTATTTTCTTAATAATGACACCACCTTCTTTTGCAAGTGCTGTTTAAACCCTGGGATGGGTTCTTCCTGAAACAAGATTTCCACTGAGGTTTAAAATAAACAGGGTTGGAGCAGGAGCTCCCTGCAGCCGGTTCCTCCCCACTGCTCTCCCCTGGCATTGTCACTGTGAGGATTTCTGCCCCAAGCCACGGGCTCCTTCACACCCCTGGAGATGGGGTCAGGGTTTTATTGACCAAAATCTGCATCCCACTGCTCTGGAGCCAGGCAGAGTCACATAACCCCTGTCAAGTGGGGCAACAAATGGAAAATACAATAACTTTCCATATTGACTTTTTTTCTCTCATCAATGGAGCCACGCTCATCCCTGTGGCTGTTCCCAAAGCTTCCTTAAAAAGACCCAAGATTTGATGAGCTGGGCTGCAACACACAGTGACAAAAAGGTGACTTTTAAAATATTTGGCAGCTGTAAAACCACTAAGGGAGGGACCTGAATTGGCACCAAGCTCGTGAATGAGCCTGTGTTCATCCAGCACCATGCCCCAGGAGCTCAACACCACTCCTGACTCAAGGAATGCTTTGAGAGCAAACCTCTCCCTCCCAAAAGGTTCCCATGCCAGAGGTTCTTTGATGGGAAGCAATATCATATTCCTGCTTGGTGGCAAAGAAATCTGTGGGAATAGGACAGACCCAGCACTGCATGAGAGGATGGTACCTGGGAGATAAAACCTTCCTCACAACAGGATTTCTGGAGAGGAGCAGGATGTGACCATGGTTCTTCTACTCCCAGGAAACTGCACCAGGAGTCTGACAGAGCCCACAGCAGCAACAAGCTCCCTGACATCTCATCTTCCAGCTCCAGGGCTGTTTTAATGAATCCATTCACTGATCCCTCTTCAACCACAGATTCCCCAGCCAGGTCCCTGCTCATCAGGCTGTCATTTCAGCAGATATATTTAGTTTTTAAATATTACAATCAAAGTGACAAGTAACCAATGATTAATGCGAGGTTACAGGTTTCCCCTCCTGCTTTGCCACCTCAGGTATCATTTAAGAGATCAGCTTTTCCCATGTAGCCCACCCAAAATCAAACAAAAACCACCTGGAAGACTGCAAAACACATCCAAAGGGCAAATGCTGATTTTTTTCACGTTGCTGTGGTTGCTACCCTTGCCCTACAAGAGGAATGTTTTTGGGTGTTCACCAATTTCACTTGGGCAACACAGCTAAAATATTTAATATCTGGGGTGGCTCTGGACAAGGGAAGCCCTTCCTCCTGCTGTCAGGAGAATAAGATATCCCTGAAGAGCCCATTCCTGCATGGTGAACATCACACTCAGAGCATCCAGGCTTCCTCCACCCTGAACTCACGTGAACTTCCAGCTGACACTTTCCAACCCCGCCGGCAGCGACCTCCTCCTGGAGCACCCAGCCCCTCCTCGGGCGAGCTCAGCGCGGGGCACCCCCCGCAGCAGCTCAGCTCCCTGCTCCCGAACTCTCCCGGAGCACAGCCCGAGCTCGCAGGCTGTGGAATCACCGGCTGGCCCCTGGCAGTGAGGAAATCTGCCCGAGTTGGGCTGCCCAGAAATGCCCTGGCAGCGCGCACGGCCGCGGAAAGGCGATGCTGCCTGCGGGGGAGAGGCGCTGCCCGTCCCTCCGCTCCCTCCCTGTCCCTCCGGGACACCGGGAACCCGAGCACAGCCCCGGCCGCAGCCGCGGATGAGTTACGGTGCCAGGAGCTGCTCCGGCCGGCCGGCTGGAACGCCGGCAAGGGAACGGGGAGAGGCTGCGGGCAGCGGGGGGAGACCGCGCTCAGCCTGGAGGCTGGGCTGGGGCTTGGCTGAGCCACATCCTCAAGGCTAGGCAGGGGTTTATGGCTCGGCTTGGAGGCTAAACACAGCTCTGGGCACTTCCACTGCAGTGCCCAGGGCCTGGGGACCCTTCCTACCCTCTGGGGGTCCCAGCAGGGCTCGGAGCTTTCGTACCCTCACCCAGCTGTCCAGCCACGCTCAGTGCCCCCATCCCGGAGCCAGGGGTGCTCTGGAGCCGCTCCCGTCCCGAGTGAGCCGCGGCTGATGCTGGTCCCGGGCAGCCACGCCAGGGGCCAAAAGCCCGGAGCACCCCCTGAGCATCCTTGGAGCACCCCCTGAGCACCCTTGGAGAAGACCCAAGAGCATCCTTGGAGTACCCTTGGAGCAGACCCAAGAGCACCCTTGGAGCACCTTTGGAGAAGACCCAAGAGCACCCTTGGAGCACTCTCCAAAGCGCTCCCACACATTCCCTGAGCACTCTGAAGCATCCCTGAGCACTTCCAGAACACCCCTCTGAACATCCTCCAGCGCAGCCCAGGAGCAGCCTCCGAGGCACCCCCGAGCATCCCGCAGCGCTCCCGCAGTGCCCCCGCCCCGGAGCCCGAGCCCCCCGCACCCCGCACCCCGTACCTGCCCGGGCAGCGCCGGCCCCGCGATCCCGATCCCGATGCCGATCCCGATCCCGATCCCGATCCCGATCCCGGTCCCGGTCCCGGTCCCGGTCCCGCCGCCTCCTCCGGGAGGGACCCGAGGCCGCCCCGGGGGCGGGGCGGGACCCGGTGCCCTCCCCCGGGCAGCGGGGCCGGGGGCGGCCCGAATGGGCTGCGGGCGGGACAGCCGAGGAGGAGCGGCTGCTGCTTTGAGGGATTTTTGGTTTTTTATTAACTTTCCCTCTGTTGTGCCCGCTGTTGAACGCTTTATTTATACTTTCGTAGCTCATCCTGTTTGCACAGATGCGGATCAAGAGCGGTGGGAAGGAAGGGAAATCTGCGGGGATGGGCTCGGGATGCAGAAGTTGAACTGTTTTTGCACCAGCTGTTCTCTGGCTCGGCCCTTCAGCCCCGCCCGGTTCACTTCGGGCCCTTGTTCCTCAATGCAGTCACATGGAAAAAGCAAAGAAAAGGCAATTTGGGTTTTAGGCTTTGGGCCTCCCCATGTGCCCAATCCCGTGTGCTCATCCAGCTGCACCAAGTGGGGACAGGCAGAAATCAGTTTAGTGATGCCAAATAATTACTTCAACACTAAGTAAAGCTTTTGATTTTCCTTGTCTTTGAGGCACAGGGGCAAATCCCAGCCCTGCTCCAACTGTTCCAGAGCGTGGGAGAGCAGCAGCTCCAGAGATGCTGGGGCAGCACATGATCATCTGGGCAGGAACTCAGCATCCAGTGGGGACGGATGTGGCTCACTGGGATCCCCCCTTCCTTCCAGAAGAACCCAAAGACCTTTAAACTCTGACTGGGAACCTCACAGGGGGAGATTTGAGGGTTGGGCTCTGGCTTCTGCCCAACCACCCAGTAATTCCAGAGCCCTCCTGGCAGTGCCCAGGCTCCTGGTGAACAGGGAGGAATAAAATATCCCATTACCCAGTTCAGGAGTGACTGGGGCTCTGCCCAGAGGCAGCCTGCCCTCATTTCCATGTGAGGGGTTCAGGTGCTGAGTGAGAGGAACATATTTCCTGAGGAGTCTAACAACAAATCAGGGAGCTAAAGGGAAAGTGTGGGATCCCTCAGGCTTCCCAGGACAGCCCCTACCTCTGCTGCTCGGGGTATTCTGGCAGTGCTTAAAGAGAGGGATCATGGTACTGGGTTGGTTTTTATTTTGCTGGTGGAGGTGGGGGGTGATTCTGACATTATTTTTTTTCTCTCGATCCTAATCAACAAACCAACTTTGATGTGCAGCCATGACCTTGGAGACACAGCACCTCTCCTGCTGCTCCTGGGACTGTGCACCTTATCCAGGACCCATCCCTTGTGCTCATCCCAAAGCCATGATGATCCCTGAGCCCTGCTGACAACAGCGAGGCTTTTGCAGCAGGAACTTTGGGCACCAACAGGAAGCTCTTGTGGTCACAGATATTCAGCTGAACTTGCTTGTGTTCTTTCTTTTTTCCCTGGGGTCAGATTAAAGCGCTTAATGGGGGTAAGAAGCTGTGGTAGCAGTTCACAGCACACATTTCTCTAAGTGTGCCTCAGAAAAGCACCAGCTACCAAAACCCCCATTTTTTGAGGAAACAGCCTAACCCATTTCCCCTTTTCAGTCACTGAACTTCTACTTGCTCAATAGCTGGAGGAAAAAGTTTTTTCCATGAGCTGTAGGTGCTTGGAAATGTATACAGAGATGTGGATAACTTGTGTGCCCCCTCTTTAACCCCAGAGAATAAATGGTGCTTTCAAACAATCCGGGATAAACAAGGAGAACTTCGCTGTCTGCACAAACGAAACCCGATAATTTGTTTAAAAGCGGATTAGGTGAATTTGGGGAGCGCTCCAAGGTGGCTGATACACAGGAATATCGAAGAATCCTCCGAGATGCTGCTAGCCAGGAGCTGGGAGGGGACATCAGGAATGCAACCACAGCCTCTCCCTGCCCATCATCTCCCACTGTGTCCTGCAGCTCCCCATGTCGAAGGCCGCGTTCCCCGCGCTGAATATCCATCTTGCAGAGTTCAGCTATTCTTAGGCGAGCTTGTGAGTCATTAAGCACATTCAGATTGTTTATTTGTCAAGCCACAGGCACTTAGATTTGCTTCTGAAGCCAGACAAACCCCTCCAAGGATTTTCTGTGGGCCACAGAAATTACTAGGTGAAATTCCACGGCAGGAGGGAACGCTGCGCGCCGGATCCACCCAAGGGCTCCTTTTCAAAGGTCAATATAAGAGGGGAACAGAACAACAAGAAAAATGTGGTTTCCTACAGCCTCTCACCACCTGATTTAGCTTTTATGTGTGTTTTTTTTTTTTTTTTTTAAGAGAGGAACTGGGCTTTGCTGGCTGGCTCTAATGCCTGAGAGGGTGGATGATGGTTTGCATGGGGAAGGGACTCCCTGGGGAAGAAGGTTTCCATATAGGGGTGGGATTAGACCCTCCTGGAGGCCCTGAAGCTGCCAAGAGCAGCCAGACAGGAGCAGGGAGAGGCTCCTGCCCTGTGCTGAGAGGAAAACAGAGTTGATGTTGTGTCCAGAGCCTGCAGTGCCAGGGAAGGAGCTGATGTGATGGAGCCCCTTTGGAAAGGCAGTACAGAATCACTACTGTTCTATAGAATGCCACGTTTGTGCCAACATCCATTTTTGTAGATTCTCTGCAGACTTGTGCTGTGCTCACAGAGCTGCCTTGTATGGTTTGGGAATGCCAAAACCCTGCCCCATTCACCTGCCAGGCCTGTGGCCTTTCACTTTTGGCTGGCAGCATGAACGGGGCAAAATGCTTCTGCCAGTATCTGGTTGCTGCAGGAATACAAATGTCAACCCTACAAAGCAGCTCCATTTGGGAGGGTTTTATGGATCAAGCCATAATTAGCATGAAACTTGACTGTACATCCCCTTTCACACCCCAAAACCAGCACCTCCCTACACATCCCAGCCAGCTGGATGCAGGCAGGGAAAATTGTGGAGCTTAGATACAACCTCTGTCCAGGAACCAACCTGCTGCTCACTCAGCCCTGTGCCACCCTGGCTGTACACATCCTGTGGTCCTCAAAGTAAATAGGGAAAAGACTTATTTTGCTTGTGGCACAGGGATCACCCTTTTGATGTTCACATCAAACCATGTGGGCTTGCCGGGCAAATAAATTTGCTGTAGTTGTGTCCAAAAAAGAAATTATGTGCTTGCAAGTATTTAGGTTGCCTAGAGAAGTTGTGGCTGCCTCTGGATCCCTGGAAGTATCCAAGGCCAGGCTGGACAGGGCTTGGAGCAATCTGGGATAGTGAGAGGTGTCCCTGCCCATGGCAGGAGGTGTAATGGGATGAGTTTTTAAGGTCGCTTCCAACCCAAACAAGTCTGGGATTCTGCAATGAGCAAGAAATGCTGCTGCTCATAGCTCAGGTAGCCCTGGCATAGCCACAGCTGGAATTCACACATCCACTGACAGACTCCAAATCTGCTCAAAGGGAATTTCTTTGCTCAGCTGTCCCTTGTGAAGTGGTTCTCATTTTTCCACACATCTCTTGTGGACAGGTGTGTGCTCATGACCTTGGGCTTAGTGTGATGCTGCTCCTCTTAGGAGAGGGAATCCATTCAGACCACAGAGAGAGGCTCAGCTGTTCTCTGCCTTAGCTTTGGTTTCATGGGTTTTCACTCTTGTGTCATTTGTCCCCCTGCTCCACGGTCTGATTCCCATTGAGTCACCATGCTGGGAATTCCTGCCCTCCAGCAGTGGTTCAGTGCCTGATGGCTCAGGGGCTGACTTCTCAGTAATCCTCCCCAGGAGCTGCACCTAGAGAAGCCCTAGAGATCCCTCCAGTTCCATCCTCCAGGCTGAAGGGTCAAATGTGACCTGTTGGCTTTGCAGGGATAATGATGTTACCTGTTAGAAAATTGCCAGTTCTCTTTAAAAGCCAAGCAAGGGCATCTAGTGATGCTCTGGGTGCTGTGAACTCCACAGACTGCAGGAGGTGCAGCTGGTTTTCCTGAACACCTCCCTCCTGTCACCCACTTACAGCCTCTTCTTGTACCAAGGACTGGGGCAGAAGGATCTGTCCCTGCACTCCTCAACAGCACAAATGCTTTCATCAAGTTTCATTTTCACTTGAGTCACTCGTTCACTCACATGATGATGTTTGTAGCTGTAACAAAGGGCTGTGTTTAATTATATATATATCAAGTCTCTGGGATAGGCAAGGAATCTGACAGAATCCCATTCTTCAGCTGAGATTCCAGCAAGGAGTTACAGAAATTCACGAGGGGGTAGCTCTGTGGTGGGGACAAAACCTGGATGAGGCCGGCACAGGCTCTGCAGTTCCCTGCTTGAGGTGGCTGTGTTGGGGTCACTTTGCTGTGTAATTCCTTAAAACCTGGTAGAAATGGTTCTGCCGTGGAGAAAAACAAGTACTCACTTATTGATTCTTTTGCCTCTTTTTTCTCCTGCCAAGGTGGGGATTAAATGCACAAGATGGAATTTCTTTTTGGGACTCAGATGTTTGTTGGTTCTTACCTCTGTCACAGTCTCACAAACCCTGAGTTCTGCAGCCCTTCACTCTAACAAACTACAAATGGAGCCCCATCTCTCTCTCTGCAAGGCCTTTTAAGGATGAACTGTCCAATTAAGAAATGACACCTGAATTATTTTTACTTTTAACCCAATAACCAACCACTTGTGCCTGCAATGGGGACTTTTTATCCAATTACACAAAACCACCCAAACCCGTGGAGAAGAAGGTGAAGAAGAAGAACCAGCCAGCGCCCTAAAACTTCTAGCTTGCTTTATATCTATTACTATATTCTAAACCCTTAAACTCTAATTTTCCCACCATGTGGTATCACACACTTCTATTCTGCACACCCACAATCCCAGTTCTATCATTCCATTTTGGAAGCTTCTCCACAGCCTCAGGTCAATGCAGTTTCTCCTGGGGGTCAGTGCCTGGCAGCACAGAAAGTCTGAAATTCTCAGCATCCAGGGGTCCAACACTCACCTGAATCTTAAACCTTTATAACGGTGGCCTCGTGTCCCTAGGTGTGGATGAGGAATTCCAGAATCCCTTCTAGGAATGTCTGTCAGTGGAGATGCTGCCAGCAGATGGTGCAAGCATGTGCAGGTCGGGCTTCCTCCTTCCTCTGCTTCCAGAAGTGAGTAACAGCTCTGTGCGATGTTATTCCGACCTGAGAACAGAGATGGGGAGGGATTTCGTGTGCATTTTCATTTTGGTTATGGTTTGCAATGCAGGAGATTCTGATGTGAATTCCAGCCCCTAGCAGCAAACTGCCTCTGCTACCAGAGAAGCTCTGGATCCATATTTATATCAACCAGAGCAGCAGGCTGTGAGCTGTGGAAGAAAATCTGCACAGACAGGCAAAAACTGGGGGAAACACCCTTAGGATGCAACAGCACCACATACAGAACATCCTTTTTTTCCTGCAGCTTTGCTTTCAGAGAGATCTGAGGAGAAATGTTCTGTTTCAGACCTGGCCACAGAACTCTCTTGCCCTTGGCAGATTTACAGAACCATATGTTTATATTGTTATGAATGAATTAATCTGCTTTATCTCTACATTATGGGTACAATTATTGCTATTTTCTGAGATATCATACATGCATATGTAGCTCTAGGAAGTTCATAGATCACATCCAACTGTTTTCTCCTAGGAGGCAGATAAATGAGAGCCAAGGCTGTGCTATCAGTGGCTAAATACCTTGACCTCCAAACTTATAAACTCTCCCACATGGAGGAACTTGTTATGGTTTGTGCACAGACAAGCTCATGGTTTGTGGCTCAGGCCTCCAAGCTGACATTTGCCTTCTGCAGCTGAAACTAAAGGAGCTCCTAGCAGGCTTTCTGTGGAGTTTACAGAACTGTAGCAATTTCTGATTTATTCCTTCCTGCCTCCCCTAAAATCTGTATCTTTATAGATGCCAGAAAACAGCTGGCCGCAGGGGTCAAGGTTTTGGGCCAGGTTTTACTTGGCAGAGGCTGAAGCTGCTGTAAGTCCCCAGGTGGGAATGAGTTGCTCTGTGGCCCAAACTAGGATCTCAGCCCTGACAGTGGCTCTGCTGCTGCCTCACCCCCTCAGTCTGACATCAAATTGCCCAAACTCATCCTGGTTTGTTGCCAGAGCCAGGCACAGCCCTGCAGAGGTGCTGCTCTCACAGGGACTGGAGTTCTGCAGTGGCCAAATTGTTCCCACGTGCCCCGAGGCAGCGGCACCGAAGTTAAAGGAAGGGTTATGAGATGATTTGAGATGCTCTGGAAGCAGATGTAGCTCGTCAAGCAGGGATAATTCAGGGTTTGTGACGTTCCCAGGCTGCTTGCTGTGGGAAGAGTCAGATTTCCTTTCCTGTGGAGTAAAACAAGTCAGACAATTTGTTTCTGTTTCTGGCTGTGAAAGGGCACAGAGTCTGCATGAACTGTGGGGCTCACCGAACAATAAAATCCCTAAATATTAATTTCTGTTCCTTGTGCCTGAAGCCAGTCCAGTCCTGATATTTTATAGCCAGTCTGAATGGTTTCTTACCTTTTCTGTGTGGGGAATTTGACCAACAGTCCTATTCCTCAGGAATAAAATGGGTTTTACCCAGCGTGGGCTGCAGAACTTCCCACCCCGAGGTCCCCGTGTGATCCAAGCCTGCTGAAAGAGCACATTGTCTGCACACAATTTGCACCAAAATTCACAGAATAATTCTAACAATACCAGAGCCCTGACAGATTTATAGACCTATCACTGATAGGGCTGCAGGCTCTGGAAATTGATTTATATGATTCAGCAACAGCTAAAGGTTGGGGAGGTTTTCCCCTGCTGGGAATCGTGCTCTGCACTGGAGTCTGGCTCCAAGACTCCAGAAATCCCATCTCTGGGGAATCTGCTCCTTCCAGGCATTTCATGTGGTTATTTTTGGCTATGTCTCTGAAGATTTCTGGTCTCCCAGCACAGCTATTTTTATAACACATGGCTGTGAAGTCCATAGTATTGGGCATAATTGGATTTTGCACATTGGAGTGCCTCAGGACCCTGTGTAAGGAATCACTGCCTCCTGCACCTGCTGCTTCTTTGGCCTGTGCCTGAAACACTCCTTTACTGTATGGAGTGAAGCTCCAGAGCTTTCTAGACAACAGCTCCTTTATGGATCCTGCTAAGCTGCCATAAATATTTAATTAGGTGTTACTGTGGGTTTGGAGAGATACAGAAAAAACTAATCCCCATTTCCTTACATTTAAACAGAACCTTTTCCTGCTGGAAAAATTTCCCCACATTAAGCACTGACAGGGAGCCATATTTTAAGAGGGGGCATAAAAATCTGGTGAAGAGGAGATTTGAAGGAGCTGAGGGTTTTTCCGCGGTGGGAAGGAGCTGCTGGATGGCAGGTTTGAGATGGAGCTGTGTGGGTGTCTCTGAGGCAGCACAGCTCCATGTCAGGCTGGTGGGTGAAGCTTCTTCCCAACCAGGGCAGCTCCTGCTTCCTGAAAATAAATCATGGCTTCAGGGGCATTTTGTGAAGAATCAGCAAAGCAGGCTGTCCTGGGCATCCAGGGGGTGGCACTGCCTGGATTCCTCCCTGTGTCCCAAACTTTTGGATACAACAATGACCTGGACTGGGATTACAGTTGATGAACTCACCAGAGAAAGGTGAGAGAGAAGAAAGACCAGGCAGAAGTGGGACTGTGTTGCCTAATTTAAAAAAAAAATCAATCAACTGACAGACCTGCAGCTAAGATTTCACCCCAGTTTTCCATCCAGGTGGCAGAGGGGAAGCTTAAATATCACTCAGAATGTCTCACAGTTATATTGGCTTTGTCTCTCAAAGCCAGAGAGAACTAATTTAGAGTGGAAATTAAAAATGACACATGCATGGTTTGGTCAAAATAACGATGATGGGGAATTAGGGAGCAATTTGTGAGTATATTAAGGGAGAGAAATTATTTAGAACAGCGTAAGGGTTATATGCAATCAGATGAAATTACCAGCAGAAATAGTAAAACAGGAAGTTTTCATTTTCATTTTAAAAATCCAGGAAGAAGACCTGACCCTGAGCCCTGCTGGGCTGCACAACAGTTCAGCACAGACCCCTTTAAGGGGAACACTTGGGAATTGTCCCCACACTGTGGGAAAAGAGCAGTTAAAGCTCATCCAAACAAGTGCTGAGTATTCTGAGAGGTGCTGGGCTCACCTGTGTACTGCTTGTGTGGCAGATGCATTTGTGTATCAAAATAATGATTATACCTATGAACACTGAGCTGGCTGCTTCATTAGCCAAAAGAAAAGTAACACACAGACCAAAACCCCATAACCACCATGAGAAATGCTGTGTGCACTTCCAGTCCCCCAAATTTGCTCTGCAAACATCTCCTTTCCCTCCTTCCCTCAGTTACTGCCCCTGAAAAGCCAAAGCACAAGCCTGGCAATGTCCCCACGCCTGACTTTATCCCCAGATCTCAGCTTCTGATGTCACTGATGGCATTCCTAGGCACAAGCACACCTGGAGTTCAGCTAACACAAAATGAGGAATTACCTGATGTGGATTTAGACTCAGCCTGTAAAATCCTTGGATAGAAACAGTCTTCCCTCATGTTTGCTGGAGCAGACTGCACAGCACGCACTGGGCAGGGCAGAGCTTGGCTGAGGTGAGCAGCCAGCAACTCTGCACCTCAGGGTTTATTCCAGCTGGAATCCAACCCCAAGGCCCAAACACTCCCAGATTTTCCCCTTACAACCCCGGGTTTGACTGCCCAGCACCTCCAGCTGCTGCTGAAGCAACTCCTCAGCCAATGCCTCAAACCAGTGATGCCTCAGGTTTTGGCTTTTATATTTTCACATTCTGAGCTGCTTCAGTGTGTGGGTCTGGGTTTCACACCAGGGGATGCTGAGCTCTGTGCACAGAGCAGGGAGACAAAACAATTCCTGCTCCAGCTGGGCACCAAGGACAAATGATCCAAACCTCAGCCCAGGAGCACAAACAGCGTGGGCTGGAGAGAGAAAAACAAGCAGGGTGGGACTGATGGGCTGGAGCTGGAATGGGACAATGAACTCCAAGGTGCCAATGGAGCAGAACTGATCCCAGGGAGAGCCCCGGGAGCGCTCCTGCATTTTGGGACCATTTTGGGTCATTTGGGTGCAGCCCTGGCTGGGCTCTGGTGCTGCCCAAGGTGGATCCATGGAGGAGATGCTTTGGAGAAATCCCTGCTTTATTCTGGGACTCTGCCCAGCCTCTACTCTAGGGCAGCAAAGGCATCACCAGCAGCGTCACACAGACTTAATTAATCACTTTATTAATCAGCCAAGCACTTCCAGGACCTCTGGGCACCACCCACCTGGATAAGATTCCTGTCTCACACAAAAGAGCCTCTGTAGTGCTGAGTGTCTATTAACTGCAGGGACCTCGGGCAGTGTTTGCTGAGTGGAGCTAAAGTTCACAAGGCAGAACTGCGGGGGAAATCCATCCATCCCTGCTCAGTGGGAATGCAGCATCCCAACAGCTTCTGGGGAGCTCTGGGGATCCCACAGGCCAAGGAAATAAATCAATATATTCACCTCGGGAATCTGAGCCCTGCACGTGGAGGCACATGTGGATATTTTACCGACAAAGAGAAATCAAAGCCTGTGCAGGAGCACAGCTGCGACTGTTGGAATATAAACAATTCCTTCCACAATTCATACGAGTATTTAGGGATAGTGACTTGCTGTAATAATTAATTTAGGCAACAGCAAAAAAAAAAATAAATCTGAAAATATTGCAGGACTGCAAAAAAGAGTGATTTTTGTGGAGGTCAGTTTGCGTTAGTGCTTAACAGGAGTGCCACGCTCAGGGCAGGCAGCAGCAGCTGGTCCTGTGGAACTTCAGCTTTTGAGTGCTGAAATTTGGGGTAATTCACCCCAAAACCCAGATCTGGGTGTTGCCCAAAGTGAGTTATGCAGCTAATCCTATAAAATATCTTATGTGAATGAACCTTTCTGTTGGAAAACCTGTATGAATAAGCAACGTGCATCCTTTATGTACAGACGGGAGGTGCTGGAGGGGCCAATGTAAAGAGCAGAACGCAGAAATCTACAGCATTTTCCCACATTCCGTCTCTTTTTAAGCGTGGCGACCCCTAGCCCGCCAGCTTTGCAGCCGTAACAGCCTCAGCGCTACGTGCCATTGGCT